TTTCCAATTTATAGAAGTCTATTATCTAATTAGTAAAAGGTGCATGCTATCCTTGAATAATCTGAAAGCAAATTGTGTAAAAATTGGAGGGTGAGATTGTGGAGAATTGATATCTATATGGGTTTGAATCCTTGGATGATTTGTAAGAGTTATAAAATTGAGAAATGATTGATGTATTGATGTATTATGATAGTTTTTGTTTATGTGAGGCCGTTTGGGTTAACAGAGACTATCGTCAATATATCAATAACTTCTATTAACATTGGTCTTGTGGTAAGTGACCTGCACTCATTTCTTGTTTGATGGCAATGGTGATGGTATATCAGTTATATAAGTTTCAAATATTGTACTTCTATATCATTCTTTTTGTTAAGCCATCTGATTTTTCTAGGTGTGACTACTTGGACATATGTGGGGAGCCCGAATTTATGGAAGGAGTGGAGGCAAAGTACCATGAAACAGCAGTTGCTACAGGCTCCTTGGTGGTTTCAGCTTGTGGTTTCGATTCTGTTCCAGCTGAACTGGGGCTTATTTTCAATTCCAGGCAGTGGGTGCATCCGGCTATTCCTAACCATGTTCGGGCATATGTAAGCTTGGAGTCAAATATAAGGATGGTTGGAAATTTTGGGACATTTGAGTCAGCAGTGTTAAGTGTGGCCAATGTAGAGAAGTTGCAGGAGTTGAGGCAGTCAAGACCAAGACGAGCAAGGCCAGTGGTGAGGAATTAGTGTGTTTTTCAGTTCAGTTTTGTCAATAATTTGATTGTGTTATTGCTTGTTTGATAATGTTTCCAGCTCCTAGATGATCTTTGTGCTTGACTTAATTTTTAGCTTTTACTTGTATGATTGCAGATTGCTGGTCCTGCTCCTCCCAAAGGACCATTGGTAGAACATCAAAAGAAAATTGGTCTCTGGGCTGTGAAGCTGCCTTCCGCTGATTCAATTGTTGTCCGTAGAACTCTTTCGACTCTTGCTGAAAATCCACATGGTCTTCCTGGGGTTAATGAGAGTGCTGAGCAGAGAGAAAGGAGGGAGGCCTTCTGGTCAACTGTGAAGCCAGCTTACTTTGGGGTTAAGATAGGATCCAAGTCTCTGTTAGGCATATTTCGATTCATGATAATCGGAATGTTCATTGGGCTGTTGGGTAAAATTTCTTTTGGGAGGTGGCTTCTTTTGAAATTTCCTTCAATTTTCAGTCTTGGATTGTTTAGGAAGAAGGGTCCATCAGAGGATGAGGTAAGAAGTGCTTCATTTAAAATGTGGTTTGTCGGCCATGGATTTAGTGACGAGAGTCTTATCTCACAAGAAAAATCAAAGCCTGACATGGAAGTAATAACAAGAATAACAGGACCAGAAATCGGCTATTCGACCACTTCAATAATACTTGTTCAATGTGCTCTTGTTGTCTTGAGCCAACGTGAAAACCTAGTCAAGGGAGGAGTATTCACACCTGGCGTTGTATTTGGTACCACTGATCTCCAACAACGACTCCAAGAAAACGGAATATCTTTTGATATCATTTCAAAGAGTTCGCTCCCTCGTTAACTGGTACACACTTTATGGCATTTCTAGGAACATCTGAGTGTATATGAACTTCTATCTTGGCATACTTATGTGTTGTTAAATAAAAAGTTAGTAGTTAGTTATATATGTTGTTATCCTGTCTGATTCTCTTTCCAAAGTGCTAAATCAGTATGTTTTGTTTTCACAAATACTTGCGTTTATGTCAAAGTCTGAACGATAGACTTTCGACCTATGATATTACGGATTTTCAGACAATCACAAGTGCAAAAATATGACATATTCTTGGTATTCATTTTGTTTTGGTCTTCTTCCACATGACCTAGAACTCCCACCAACACTGACTAAAACCCTTGCCTCTTCCATCCTTAGGGTTATCTCCTCCCCCATCACAGTGTTATCTTAAAAAAATGTCTCATTTAAGAAAATATGATGATCTCTCTTTAAATTAAAAAAAAGATTCTCTAAACTCTAATTAACATAAGATGGTAAATCATTAATATACGAACATAAATTATACGGTTAGGATTTCATCAAGTTTAAAAGAGATTATCATGTTAAAAATTATAAATATTATTATTATTTTTTTGCATGAAAATTGAAGGTTATAAATAAAAAAATTTTTTAATTTCACCAAAATAGTATCACATATTTATCAACATTGAGGATATTTTTAGGTCACCATATTCTATCTATTTATATTTGTTATATTATCCATCTATTTTCTTTTCTATTTAATATTTTGATTATATTTAGAACAAATACAAAAATTTTATCAAATTTATTCATAAATTAACACTTAATTTAATTAAAATCCGTGAAACTATTTTTAATATGATCAAAATAAATCATATATTGAATTTCGTATGACATTCAATTAACACACTCCAAATTCTATCAACTCTAATTGTGCATAAATTTCATTGAAGCTATTACCTCTAAAAAAGTATTATATTATATTATATTATTGCTAACTAAAATTTAATTGTATTCTCATTCACAAAATTTATACCAAAATAAAAAAAAAGTATTTACCAACTACGCATGTATATTATTACATGCTATAAATTTTTAAAAGAAAATTATAAATGAAACTAAGGTTGACACCCGCTAATTTTAAGCAGGAGCAACAAACGGCGTCGTTTCTGTTCATCGTGCAAACAGAGGAGGACAAACCCTTATCCGGAGGAGAAAATCGCATTTCTCCACTCCGTTCTTCTTCAGTTCTTCTCACTATGCTAAAGACGAAAGTAAAATAAAAATCTCTCACAATCTATTGGCGCCAAACCGGCAAACATGAGCGCCAGCAGAACTCTAATCCGTTCATCTCTTCACTCCCTCCAGTCTCTTCCCGTTTTCCACCCAAAACCTTTCTGCTTTCTCCGCCCCGCGTATCCTCTGTCCTACTCTTCCCCATATACACGTAGTCTTTCTCTCGTTCTCTGTTGTTTTATCTGATTTCTTGCTTTGGCATGTATTTTGATTTAATTTTATTTGTTGTATCCGATAGGCATTGGGGTTGGGCCCTACAGGGTTCGTAGGAGACCTTTTGGGTCAGTCCGAGGAGCAGTTCCGGTGGAAGTGCCGGAATTCACGGATGAGTCACCTGAGGAAGCGACAAAGGACACGGTTGAACAATTGCTCGCGAATCCTGATGATGTAGCAAGGTTTATGAAAATGGAGCGCAGGTCCACGACGAGCGACGGTGGTGAGCGTACAGGACGGGAAAGCCGTTGGTTCCCTTACCTGAACAGGTTCAAATGCGGGAATTTGTACCTGAACAGCGGGGAGGTGCTGGAGGCGCTGGCCCCTCACATGATGGAGGAGAGGAAGGAGCGGTTCCGGAGGGTGGCGAGTAACCGGAGCTTTTCCGTGTGTTTGGTTGTGGAAGGGCTCTCCGATTTTGGGAATGTTTCGGCCGCGTTTAGGTCTGCTGACGCCCTTGGGTTCCAGTCTGTCCACGTCGTATCCTGTGATAACTCCAAAAGGTGCACTTGAGGTTGGCATTTTCCTTCTTAGTGTTTGATAATATGATAACTGGTTTTAGGGTTACTCTTGTTTGATTTTATAACCTGCTTTTGTTATGGAGGTCATGAACATTGAATAGTTTAATTGTAAGTGCTTTAGCTACTACCGATATTGAATAGTGTTTTAGTAATACCCCGTTGAAGTTATATTATATTCAAAACTTTGGACTTTTTAGTCCACTGAAAAGGACAGACAAAGAAGGTTTTAGGCTTTCTTGACGGATTTTATTGCTGTTGATTGTGGTTGGCATTTGTTTGAGTTGCAAAATCAGCATTACCTATGTTCTTGATGCAGATACAGAGACAATCGCCATGTTAGTATGGGTGCGGAGAAATGGTTAGACATTGAACTTTGGAACTCTCCACAAGAGTGCTTTAAAGTTCTGAAATCACGTGGTTACCGAATTGCCACAACTCATCTTGGCATGGATGCAGTAATTTTGCTTCATTATTTATTTTTGTTATTTTTTCTTCAAGAGAAAGTGAGAATTTTTTTAGAAACAAATGTGAAGTAGTACTAGTCCTTTGTTTTATTGCAACATGTTCTATTCTATTATGTTTTGTTCCCTAGAGCTGGTTATAAAACAATATGCTAACTGGGCTGTGGCTTTATTGGTGCTTCATAGTCTGAGAGTTCCTGATCTCCTTTATGTTCAATTGACTACTTGGTACTATCAGGTATCCATATATGACATGGATTGGTCATGCCCAACTGCAATAGTAGTGGGAAATGAAGGCAGGTAATCATATTCCTTTGTTTTCAATCATTTATTCACATTGTTTACTTCTAGCTGAGGAAATTATTGCCTTTATAAAATGTCTATATATAATACATCACCAATAAAAGTCAAAGTAAATGCATGTAAGAATTAACTTTTTAAATTTTGCTTTTTCTTATATTTTGTGACTTCTGGGTAAAATCTGAATAGTAAATGAGTTTTTACTCTGAAATATGACAAGATTTCCTGGTGCATTTTCTTCTTTTCATTGTGGCTACATGTTTCAAGTGCATTGGTGGAATAACAGATAACTTGGTCTGCTTAAGTTCATGATAGTCATGGGCCATTTTTATTCTTTTGCTTCCCCCCATATATTCTTTGAAAGACATTCTTAATGAACTTCTAATGCCAGTCAACGTCGTCTCTAATTGCAGGGGTATAAGTGATGAGGCCCTTCAACTTTCAGATTTATGCTGCAGTATTCCAATGAAAGGCATGGTGGACTCTTTCAATGTTTCAGTTGCTGCGGGCATCATCATGCACCATGCTGTTTGTGACAGAATTTCTCGTCTGGTAATTCCCCTTGATCTATGCAGTTGATTAATTTCTGCGATTGAGATGAATTTAGATAGTAGGTTAGGTATATTATATCATTTTTCTCAAGGATTGTGTCAGATTTGTTCCTCCTGTATTACTATATTTATATCTGGTGATTTAAGTTACATAAATTACTCTAAAGCCAGTACATGCTTCTATTTAGTTTTATAGAAATTAACTATTGCATCTATTTCACGCAGGGGTGCCATGGTGATCTGACATTAGAAGAGAGACAAATCTTACGTGCAGAGTTCTATTTACGTCATGGAAAAAGTGCCATAAGCATTGCTCATGAATATGCGAAGCGCAAGGAAGCCATGCTTGTTTCGAAGCTATGATATGGTTCCCTATTTATGGGATGTCTGCCAATTGACTTCTGAACATTATGGGAAGCAGATGTAAGGTTGTCGAAGGGTGAAATGATGGAGATAACCTGTGACTTTATTCATATTGGCCAGAAGCAAAGTCCCAGCATCAGTTGTGTTAATGGAGGCAACAAAATCCCTTGCTTAGCTAAGCCAGGCTGTCTCGGGGAAGATAATCCGCTCTGGATGTTAAGTATATGACATTTTGACTGTTGATTGTTGAATCACAAAGATTCATAACATGCTTTTGTCTCTGATAGGAAAAACCAACATTAAAATCTATCTTCATTTTATGTAATTTAGTGATTAAGAGATATAAAGGGGAAAATCTTTTTGATGTTATTTATAAGCTGCTGGACCTTTCTTTTTGGATAAACCTGTCGAACTTGATTGGGTACTGTAATGATTTTGTTGCTGCCGGATTTCTTTTCCTGTTTTCCAATCCAGTTGTTCAATTAGAAATGATAGTAAACCCTGACAAAGAATTGCTTGCAGAATTTTTCATTCTAGACAGTTTCAAAGTATTCTCTTTTTAACTTTACAGGCTGGGGAACGCTTTTCATATTCATGATGATACATATTCTCTACTAACAAGTAAGACCAGGGGAAAAAAATATAATCCAGTTCAAATTATCACAAATGTAGGAAATTTTCTAAATATTCTAAATATGAGCTGCCAATCCACTAAAACATATCATCACAATGCACTAATCAATTAACATTTTCCCCTCTGTTGTTTGTGGTGATGTTGTCTTGGTGCTTTGAATGTTCAAGTATCTCTTTGATTCCTGCAATCTGACAAACTCATCGATTCTTGCCTTCAATTCAGTGTTAGGAATCAGCATGTCGACAGTTAGATGGGAACGGTTAAATGGATCAGTCTGCATTTGCACAAAATTCAATTAGCAAACCTAGGACTTATTTAGACCATATATAGAACACAGAACAGGATGGAGATGTACATTATCACTAAGAAGATGTCTTTGAATTACAGGCCTGTCCACCGTGATCCTTGAACTAGGTAATAACACTGGATCCTTCATTAGAGTGTACTGCAATACGTAAATACAATCAGTCTTGTTTTCACGGCAAGTACTGGACAACATCTCCCGGTATAGAGGGAGAAAGATGAGAGAAGGGCAATGTCTTAATAGCATAACATGCAGTGAGACAGTGATACAAGTGTTGCCTGTCAAGCTACTGGCAGTTGGTAAGTACTTCCAGACTAAACCACAAAGTAATGTTAAATGTACCTGAATGGGATCCAGGAATTCTTCTGGTATGTCACCAAGGGCTGCTTCAGCGTCCATGGCCTCTGATGCAGCAGCTTTGGCTTTTGCCCCGAGCTCAACAAATTCCTGTATAATTCTCATGTCTTCACCAATTTTGCGGAGCACATCAGCAGCAGCACTAAACAACTGGAGCATACACAAATTTTAAGATAGACCTTGATCAGAAAATAATGAGAAACCAAAGTCTTCAACAATGTTAAAAATAGAACTTCAAAAAAGTTAACCAAAACGTTTGAATCACCTGCTCATTGTATGACCGACCATCCTTGGAGATGGCGGATGGAAAAATGTTATCAGAGTCGCCCCTTGCCAGATGAACGTATATGCGAACAATCTTCAATAAAATATAACAAATAGTTAAACACAATTTTCAACCTTCAAACCGCAAAACTGGTCTTTTCTAAAGAAGAATGATATTAACGAGGCACTCAAAGGGAGCAACCCATTTATACTAACAAGTCAACATCATTATGTCCAATATCCTCCAAAAAAATTGTACCTGTAAATCAACAAGCGTGCAGTAGGAACACAGTAACCCACCCAGTATTTACAACCTTCAACAAGGAATCCTCTTATCCTTCACTTGTGGCTCAGTGAAGAACAACAAATTTAATAATCAAATAAGAATATGGAACCAGGATCTTACAGAACTTTGCCTAAAGCTACACATGTTTTCTACTCTTTCCACAAGTCATCAGTATTCCTTCCTTCAATTACTACTAGAAAAGCAAAGGACGAAGTAAGAACACATGGCAGGTATATTTGGAGACATCTCATTTAATGTTTCATATCTTTAATATATCCAAGATTCATCTCATACAATGTCTCATATCTTTCCAAATTCCTTAACACGTAAAAAGCTCCCAAGTTGCCACACAGCCATACAGACACAAGTCTGCATGCATGCATAATGAGCCAAAAATCACACATACTATGCCAGTTGCCACTTTCAAAAATGTAAATGATTACGATCCTGATATAGCTAAAGGTTCAGACAAATGGTCATACTTATTAAACATTTTGCCAGTTGCACAATTAATCACAAAGAGTTATACAGTTATGTCAATCCAATTATATATATCCTTTTTTTACTTCCTCCTTTTTTCGTTGCAATAGATACCATGTTGATTTCACTTCAGTCAAACAATCCCAACTCCCACACTCTAAAGAAGAAGGAAAAAGGGAAAGAGAATAATATCAAATTAAATATACCTTTTTTTTAAAAAAAAAAAAGTTTACCAATACCAACCTGCTTAAGCAAATGTCTGGGACGAAACTCGTACTTCTCAGGGTCTTTCAAACTGAGGGATTTCCTTTGGGGCCCAACAAGTTGAAGCAAAAAGTAATTGAGCATATTGGCTACTCTTTCAACCTTCACAATTTTTTTCAGAGAGCGAGAGAGAAGGAAAAAACAATCAGTAAAGAATAGAAAGAGTTTCGGTTCTAGTCCGAGTAATAACATGTCTCCATACTGACGAGGAAAGTATATCTCACCATCTCAGGAAGTAGGAAGGGAGCTGTAATCTGCTCAGATGTGAATGCCAGCATACTTACATCCTCATTTGCCAACTTCATATCAATACGGATTATCTGAAGACACAAGACAAAGCACATCCGATATGTACTATGAAGAATTAAAATTCAGAGGTGTAAATTTAGAATCTTTCTCTTGCAACACATGGCTACATCCAGACACCACACCTAAAAAGCACATAGAACAAAGGATAACACTAACATTCTCCTGCGAGTGGAACAATCTGGTTCTCTCCTGCCTCTCTTGGACTGGTCTTCGTTCCCATTCTGCAGTGTTTGACATCTCAGCTTCAAGTTCTTTGAGCTCAAGAATTTTGTTAAGACTTTCATCAAGAAGATATATACTATCATTGATCAAGAAGTTTAGGAAGTTCAGATAGACACCCTTCTCCTCTTCCTTGGCAATCTGGAACCAAATTTATCACATTTACCACATCACAAAAAAGGATATTCAATACCGAACGAATAATGTAATAGATAAAAACCACTAAAATATTTTACCTGTCTCCAAGCATTACAATGACTAGGGACCTGCCATAAGTACTCAAGAAGTTCAGCAATATTATGCCGGATGTCGAACTTATCATAGAACTGCATGGGACAGGAAACAAAAAGGCCAATTAGCACGAAGTAGTTAACTAATAAGAAAAAGGGAGGAGAAAACATAAAGGTATTCACAAAAGGAAATATCTGTTCAAATTCAGCCTTGAAGACCATTATAAGCAGTCAGAAATATAAACAAATATTGAATATGATATTTTATTATTTTAGTTTATTATTTAATTAATTAACTATTTAATTAGTTAGTATTATATAATTAGAATTCTATAAGAATAATAATTTCATATTATTAGAATTCTAGTAGAATAATAATTTCCTTATTAATAGGTTATGAATTCTATAAATATTCAGGTGTAACAAACTAAAGAGTGAGAAATAAAATTATTTATTTTTTTCTCCTAAAATTCTAAATGGTATCAGAGCCAAATAATATTATTTTAGGAATTTAATTTTAAGGTTATTTCCAAACCCTAAAATAGCACAATATGCTGGGTTGGTAAACTTTTATATATATCTACTTTCATAACCACCCAATATCGATTGGACTCGTCGATATATTATATGGTATTTACGGTGATTTTCGGTGGCGGTGTAAGCGCCGGTAAAAAAGGTGCAGTTGCACTCTGAAGGCGCCGGTAAAAAGATGCAGCCGCACATTTGCAGGCGCTAGTAAAAAAGTGCAGCCACACATCTACAAGTACCGGTAAAAAAAGTGCAGTCGCACATCCAAAAGCACCGGTAAAAATATAAAACTGCACAACCGTAAGCATTGGTAAAAAGTTGCAGTCGCACATCTATAATCGTCAATAAAAAGATGCAGCCGCACATCACATGCGCTGGTAAAAAGTTACAGCCGTACATCTACAGGTGCTGGTAAAAAAAAAACCGCGTTATTCCGTTTTTCTGCTCACATTCAAAGATTTGTCCGACTTCGAGTTATTTTCTGAGCCGACTTCAAGTCGTTTTAAAGCAAAGTCTGAGCCGTTTTAGAGTCAAACCCGAACCGTTTTAGAGCTGAACTCGAGTCATTTTAGAGTCGAGCTTAGCTGTTTTGAGCCGGGTCGAGCCGTGTTGAGCCATGCCAAGCCGTTTTGAGCCAGACCGAGCTATTTTGATCCGAAACGAGTTGTTTTGAGCTGAGTCGAGCGTGCGTACGCCTTTAGTAGATTGCATGATGACTCTTCAAAACTTATTCTGCATATTGGGCGTGTGCGATATCCCTGCCCAACTTTAGGGGGATGTTGAATATGATATTTTATTATTTTAGTTAATTAATTAATTATTTAATTAGTTAGTATTATATAGTTAGGATTTTATAAAAATAATAATCTCATATTATTAGAATTATAGTAAAATAAGAATTTCCTTATTAATAGGTTAGAAATTCTATAAATACCCAGGTGTAACAAATTAAAAGGTGAGAAATAAAATTATTTATTTTTTTCTACTAAAATTCTACAACAAATCAGACATAGAATAGCAGAAAGTAGGCCTCCATTCTAAATAACCCAAGTCCAAGCCACCAAGCCATACAAAGAAATAAGACGCATCATACTCTTGGGACCATTTCCCATGGCCATACCTTATTTTAAATGATAGTCAACATGAGGAAGGAGCTCGTGCAAATGTAAGTTCAAATCTTTCTTATTAGAATCTAACATTCCTTTGATAGAAATGTGGCCAAGTTACCAAGACTATCCAACTACCTTCTCACTTATATATCAACAAAATCAATTTTGGAAACAAGGGTCTCTGTGAACCATTATATAAAGGAATCAAACAGCATAAAAATTTAAGCAATTACCTGTGTGTGGGAACCTGTGAACTCAATGTCAACATATAGTTTCAAAAGATTTCTCACAAGATACTCAAGAGACAATTGATGCCCCTCAAACAGAGTTGATGTAGCAGTTGAACCACTGCATGTGAGATAAAAAAAACTTTCATGAATATCTAACTATTCAGTTTGAAATTGGAAAAAGAAAAGGAACAAAGAGATGTTTAGTTATCCTGCTATTGTAAGCTATCAGATCACCTTCTTCGGGGCATCCAGCAGTTCAGCACTTCAACCATCTTTGCTCTAAGATAAGGATTCCTGATATAATTTGGACTTGC